ACGATGACGACGTGTTAAAAATGTCAACACGAGCACGCAGGAGCGTGAACTCTTCTCCACGAAACCGACATCGACCGTCAAACGTGAGTGCCAGTAGCAAGTTTTCGCATCGGGGGCTCCAGACGTTTCACTACAAGGCAAAATTACCCGGAAAAGAAGTAACGGAGCCCAATAGGCGCGCGCGATGAACGGATAGACCATTGAAGAGCAACTACAGAGGGAAGCGTGCCGCGCGAAACCACTTAGTCTCCAAACACGCTCCAAAGGGATGAACCACCCGGGGATTGCAGGCAGCGCGAAAAGCGTTGCCAAGAAACCAGCCCTCCCTCTCCTTTTCTGCTGTTTTCTCCTCTGCTGTCCTCCTCTCAGTATTTCCCCGTATTTTGCCTGCGACAGTTCGCGTGGCGTCGTGCTCGGAGTGCTCGACCACGGCCGCCTGGATTCGACGATCTAAGAATTACGACGTGGTGCTTGTGTGTACGCTTGGATGAGCGTGGGCTGCTGCTTTTGCGTTTCCCTGCTCCCGTGAAGTCTGGAACAAGTCTCAACACGTCACCACGCTGCGCTGTATATCTCTGGCTTCAAGATAGTCATGACCATCACACGACAGCAACAGTTGGAAGGCCAATATGGCGGTCGAGAACACAACAGGTCTATCGGATATATACTTGAGTACAACTCAGGGAAGAAAACAGCACTGGATTCTAAGGCAAGTAGGTTATCATTCTTTATTCTACTCTACTTGTCGCGTGTTCGATACGGGTCGCGCTTGCCGGCAACGGGCTCGGTCGTGTTTTATATCGCATGCACGAAATGCATCGCAACTTGTCAGCTTCGGCGTCTGCAGTTCGCCTGTGCTTTGAGACCGCCTGGAAATTGGCCGCCATTGCCGTCAGCCTCCCGTACGCTCGCTAATCGAGTGCTCGCCTGTCTTCACCGTCGTGATGAGGTCCGGGCTGACGATATTGGGCTGAGACCTCGTTGCTGTGTTGGGAGTCGTCAAAAACACGTTGCGGGTTCTTGTAAAGATCTTGGTTGTAGTATGTCGCACGCTGTAAGTACACCAGCACGGGCTGGCAGGGCTTTCGCTCGCGTCGGAACTCACTGAAAATTGGTCGCCATTGCAGTTGGCTTTCCCGACAGACGGTCGCAAGCAGCTCGGCGCCGTCCGTTGGCCGCGGCGGCAGACTCGCGTTTGCGCGCTGCACTCGCTCGAGTTTGTGGAAAAGGGCCGCATTACCGTCGATTTCTCCGGCACTGTTCGTGACAGCAGCCAAGCGTGCGCTCGCTCTCCTGTTCGAAGTTTGCTGGCGGCAGACACTTCACGTGCAGCGCCGTGTTCGGTCTTGCGTTTGCTTGCTCGAGCTCAATGACGTCGCTCGCTTAGGACTCGCCGACTTGTTAGCGGCACACTGGGTCACGGAGTTGTGGCTGCGGCCACCGCTCCTAAGCTGTTGCGCTACGGGGATCGAAATGAGTCTTTGATGATGTGTGACATCACGGTGAAATTATTAGCATGTCATATCTCACGTATGTTTTCATTTCACCTTGCACGTATTTCTCGTATGCACTTGTGTTCATCCTTTGTCACGTGTGACTCACTATTTTACATACTTATTGTGCAGCCGTGGGCACAGACCATGCTGAAGACTTTGTGCGCTGGTGTCTGCGATGCCTGTCATCCATCTCTTTTGTCAGAGTAGCTTCAGAAGGACTGTGCGAGATGTGAAGGTAAAGTTATTTGTTTGTCATATCTTAATGCTTGTTTTTATATTAACGTGCACGTACTTCTCATATGCGTGCATCTTCATCTTCTGACACGTGTGTCTATTTTTACTATATTTTTGTACGTGCAGCCGTGGGAACACAACAGGCAGAGGGCTGCGTGCGCTGGCATCTGCAATGCCTGTCATCTATCGCTTCAGTTGGAGGAGCTACCCAAGGAGTGAACAAGATGTGACAACGAGACTGGATTTGTACATTTCACCGTGAATTCACTTTAAAAATTGAAGAACCGTCATGTGTATGTGACAAGACACCCACTGAAGCGATATGGCTCTGGGACAAGACCAAGCTCATCTGATTTCTTAACAGCAGTAGCTAGAATACCTCTTCCTCCTATATCATGCATACATACAAAGATTTCACGAAAAATGAACCGTGTTTTAAAGATCAGTTCTCAATTACCGAGATCGTCGGCTTAAGCAGCTAGGGTGGCTATAAGTTGGATTGTCTTGGCTAATGACGGCAAGATTACCTACATCATCGATGGAGATTATCAGCGAATTATTTACCAATAGATCTCGCAAGTTAAAGTTTCAAAGAATGCGTGTTCCAAAGGTAATTTTTGTGAGAGCTTTTGATTACTATCTATCGCAGTTGGCCTTGCTGGCAAGTTGTGGTGGTACTAGAGAAGATGCAGGCGCTGAGCAAAAAAACTATTCGAAAAACCTTAGCTTCTGCTTGACCTATAGTTAGCACACGTGAAACACTTTGGGGCCCGCATTCGCAAACTCCCTCTTGGCACAACGAGTGATTGCTTCGGAAACATTACAAGGTGTCCCCCATTGGGTGTTGGAAGCAACCTCTTGTGCGCTTGCAATGACTCGGACTTGCACGTCCAGAACAGGGCTGACCAGCATGGGTATGGGATTATTTGTCCGGTAGGCCTATATATGATACATAGATTACTCTTTTACGTCTGACTGATATACGCACGTATGTTACAAGGCGTGGGTTCTGTCGAATTTGTTCGAAGGCCGGCACAATGCGTAGGTGCTCTTGCGGGTGCTAGTTAGGAATTCACAGAGATACATATGCCTAAAATATTCATGCACAAATACAACCTCCGAGGTATCGACATTTCCAGCAGCTTAAAGTGACCCAAAGTAGCAGCCTCGTCTACTACGGTATGTATTCAGACACATATTACCTGTACTTTATTGTTCATCTGTTCCCCATAAACCACAGTTTTCCCAACGAGTTTACCAATCTTGTGCTTATAAATGCTCAATAGATTCTAAACAGTCACGCTATTGCCCATTTTGTGATGCTAAACAGTCACGATAACCCACCTATCATTAATGTTTGTGGTGTTACATTACTAAAAACTTTATATAGCAATCCTCAGCATTCTCGCCTAAATTTATCAGGCAGGTTGTGTAAGCGTATTACCACTGGTTCAGGTGGTTGCTAAGCGCAGCCAAAGACATCTCCCTTGACTGCGACACTTCATCTAATAGAACGGCACCTGGTCGCCGAAAAGATGACATATCGTTCGATAACTCGAGTTTCGTTGGAGTGGTTATACTTGTCCTATCCTGTAATGCTTGTTGCTCTGAAAAGAGCGCATCCCTATCAATATATATATATATATATATATATATATATATATATATATATATATATATATATATATATATATATATATATATATATATATATATATATATATATATATATATCTTGGTAGCCGCCTGTGGGAGTATGGAGTTCTACCAGCGAATTGTATCATTATCGATAAATCGCTGCCAGTTCATCTACCATGAGGTATTATTACGGGGAAGATTAGTTCGTCGACAGCGGGTCTTGCTAACGCTGTACAGAGCGCACAGTCATGCAGGCGAACGGGGAAACACTCGAGAGGCCAACCCACAACAAACACGTTATAATCTTCCTTCTTCTGGGTGTCTTTTCAGTGCTTGTGCCGGAGCGGCAGTTCCCATACACGTACCAGTATAAATCACCCCGGCACGCATCTGTATATCACCGGAACAAAAGTCAACTCTACAGGATGCTCGGCCTCTAAGGTCGCCATCGCTGGCGTTGTGACGGGAGGTGATCAGTGCTTTCAGCACGGCCACCGGTGACACTGCGGCCCAGGTAGGTCCAGGCCGTTTACGTGGGGGTCACGCTTACCGCCTCCTCCCTTGGGGGAGCCGAAGTGAGGCGGTAAGAATGTCTGTCCCGCGACCAACTGCGCAGGGCGTGGTCGATACGCGACCGTCACGTCCTGCGCTTGGCACGCGGAACTTACTCATCGAAAGATTGTGCGCGGGGAGGAATTGGTAGTCTCCTCTTCGCAGCGTCCGTAGGGACCACCATGCGTGTCGGCAGAGAGAGGAAGCTACCACTTCCGCTCTGTCACCCACGCACAAGGTGGTAACGTTGTGTGTGCACCACTGGGGACAGGAGTTCACGCTCCTCCCGCCACTTCACACGGGGTGGCCTGCTCCGTAGGTGTCCGCAGCCTCGACCTCTAACGTCGGCCTCTCGCGACTGTAGTGCGTGGATTGGGTACGAGTCTTCCTGATCCTTGGTAGGACATAACAGGGGAGAGCCCAGGTTGACTCATCCAGTGCCATTCTTGATATGTGTCGTAGCTAAAAGTAAGCTCCTCATTACCTATATTTTTGAGCCCAATAACAGGCTTTCGACATAAAAAAAATTGTTCAGAACTGACACCATGTCGGTTATCTCATTGTGCGTGTTATTGTAAAGAACGTCTGCAAAATTTGGTATCTACTCAGGTTACCCAGGAAACATTTTTTGGGACGCTGAGTGACTGAGCAGAAAAAGAATATTTTCGGCCCGCCTTGATGATGTCTTAGGCAAAAGCATAAAGAATCCTGCACTTTTTTTGTTAAGGTTGCACTGTAGTGTTCGACCGAAATAATGATCACAATTAACTCGCAGTTGCAGATCACGAGTTGACGTACAATGGTGTGGACGTACACCGTTGTGATCTCAGCTGATGTCACTGAACTGTTGAACGAAATCCGTGCCCCGGGACATACGCTTCGATTTCGCGGGGGCGCTCACCATAGCGAGAGTTCCTATGTTGGCTGAAGGTGCCGTACGTCACATCTCTTATAGGCACTAGTGTCCGAGTTCCCTCTAGTTTGTATTGTATAAAAGTCTATGCCTTCAGCAGTTCGATCAAGGAAGAATGACCCAATTTCTCGTCCTTCGTTGCTCGCTATACAGAAGACACGAAAACATAAGGAGCAACTGTTTATTGCTGGGTTTACATAAAACGTGGTTTCCCTTGAGTATAGGAAACAGGAATGACTTCACAGGCTGAACAAAGGAACGCTTCATCTTGTGATCATGGCTGGCGATCCAGTTCTCTACGAGTGCTTGTGAGGGATCTGGATAGTGACCTGCGTGGGAATAAAAAAAAAAATTAAGTCAGAGAAGATAATGAGTACAGTACTCAGTAGTCTAAATTTATCATTGCACATTGGCGCACGTTGCCGTGCACGCAGTCGTTCTTATTTCAGGTGAATGCACTCTAAAAAAAAGTACGTGTTACTTTTAAGAGAGCTCAGATTTCTAATTGTAAGACTAAAAAGCACGTAAACTTTTGGTAGGGTCCCAAGGCCCTCCGAAAGGGGTATAATAATGTCCTGAACGAGTCAATGTACCTAAATAAGCTCGTACACACGACAAATTTCGACTCCCCAAACAGAGTTAAATGACTTCTTTCGCGGAGTGCTACTCAAGAGAACACTTTCCAAAAAGTTTAGTGAAAAGACGCATGGTAAGTACGCAGACTCGTTATAAAAGATCAGAAACAGTCCGACATACCGTCTTTGTTTCAATGTAGTTCAGGATGCCGTCCTCGTTACTGAAAAAAAAAGTGCACAAAGAGGTTAGAAAACTAAACTGTACTGTTTTCTCGTCTGGAGAATTAGGACGAGCTGAAGCCATTGAGGCTCACCACAAAAGCACCAAAAATGACGTGCGGCGTATGAATACCCATTGACTGCGCAACGTTGAAAGCAACATATGCTACGGATTGGCGATACCCTCGATGCATGCATGTAGCTGGCAGAGCTGTTGTAAAATACACGTGTGCGGGTGCTGGTATACCGGTTGCCGACAATGTAATGATCATAAAATATGGAACGTATCACGACTTATTGCTGGGCTGCTCTGTTCATTCTTGCTGCGGCCTGAGAGGACGCCAAACTGAGGGAAGAGCACCACAGGCAAACACGTCGTTGAACTCGTTCACAGCGAAATTAAGTGGTGGCCTATGCATGTTGCGAATTGCACTTCGAAGGTACCCATCAATGACCGGCGACGTGCAATGTCTCTCGCGCATAACAATGTTATTAGAGGGATAACTGCGCAATAATTAAAATCAAACAAAAACGCGTGCAACTCAATATTTAATATAAACTCAGGCGTTGATTTATTTACTTAAGCTGATAGTAGGCAAGCATTTTCTAAAATTCAAAGTTGTAACCTTCCCTTGTGTAAGCTTCCACTGCAAAATAAGCCATTTTATTGCAAGGAGAGTGAATACAGGAATAAAATTTAAGATTATTATAAAACTCGAGCCCTCACATTCTGCCACAGGCCATTATCACGATGAACTCTTGTTTCTACGTCAACGGTTTAGTACTTGAGTGCCATAGGCTAAACTTGAGGAGTTTCACGGCAGCCTTCCCGAATTCGAAAGCGCGAAAACTCGCAAAACATATTCGAATTCGTAAAGTCAACGTAACGCAATTCGCCTCAACGTTTCAGCGTGAAATTAACACGATAAAGGTGTGGCTTTCAATTATTCCGATTCTAATTCCATAAGTAACAAAAACAAAAGATCAAATAAACACTTTAAACCTCAATCGCATTTAATGTTCACTTTCGATGTAGGCTTAACAAGAACGAAAGAAGTGGATCTCACCATTCGCGGTGAAGGCCGGACATCTTGAAGCCTCCAAATGGAGCTTGTACGTTCGCAGCGAGGTAGGTGTTAACCCTGTTAGAAAGAAGTAAAGCATATGCTCATTAAGCCACAGCGACTTCATGAAAGCCCCGGCGCATATTTCTCAAGGAAGTCGCATATTAATGAAGGGCGTAACATGGAACCATTTTTTGATCCATCAATGTAGAATATGACAGCAATGTCTGGTACACCAGCGACGCCAAGAGGTCGTATCGCGTGCTTATTTTCTAGCAGCAGCTCTCCGTTTTAAGTGCCATCATTTGTGCGGGCTTGACGTCGGCTACGTGTGGGGTTAACCGTGCGCGGACGTAACCCTTGCTTCGTATAGTTCCTTTCATTATAGGCGAGTGGTGCACAAAGTGCCTCTATAGTGCGTACAAATAAAATTTCAATGAAGAAGCAAGGAAGCTTGAAAAATACAAGCACATAAAAACCGGAGGCAGAGGAGAGTCAAATAAAAACAAGAAATGATAAGGAAAAAAAAAGAGTGCTTTTAGTCGGAATTAAAACAGCTAGAATGACTCGGTACCAGTCTAGGTACTTTCAACGTCAGCTATTTTTCACGGGTTCAAAGCACGTTAAATATTAAGGGTAGGCAAGACTCAACCGCAATCTATTGTAACTGCCTTTCACCACTTGAATTAATGCCACCTCCGATCATTGTTTACTACATGGGGCGTTGAGGTAGGTAATTAATGCATCGTCACTTGTACGCATTCTAGCGTTCAATATGCGTATACACGATGCTTGTTATGAAAATGGGTCACTATATGTATACATGTTTTCTGTGTAGATAAAACACGTGGTAGCTCAACTGTTAAGCTCAGACGAAGCGAGTATCACAACACTAACCAGACGGTGCCGGCTTGGACTCCGTCGGCAAAGGTGATGGCGGTGTTCAGGTCCTTGGTGACGACACCCGCAGCGAGACCGTAGGTGGTGTCATTGGCTCGCCGGAGGACCTCGTCCATGGTCTTGAACTTGAGGATCTGCTGGACTGGGCCGAAGATCTCCTCCTTGGCGATCCTCATGTCGTCCGTCACGTTGGTGAACACAGTGGGCTCGACGAAGTAGCCCTCGTTGCCAATTCGCTTGCCACCGATCTCGATCTTGGCGCCTTCCTTCTTGCCGGACTCGATCAGGCCCAGAATCTTCTGAAACTGCTCATCGTCAATCTGAAAACCGAGGGAAGAAAGAGTGTGTTAAGACGTCATGCTGGCTGTCCCGATGTCCGCGGGGAGAAACGCCTAAAAAGAGAGGAGTGCGACCGTAGACTAGCAGATGCTGCCCGAGTTGGCTTTGTGAAGTGAGAGAGGAAGAACGTAGGAGGGGGAGGGGAGTGCGCATGTACAATGGACATGTGAATGCTGTGGGGAGGAAAGCTTAGAGGAAGGAGAGAAGGGAGCGAGCGTTGGCTAGGAGGAGCCACCTGCGTGGGCGCTGCGAGGCGAGAGGTGGAGGGGACACACATGCGCATTATGAATGGTCACGCTGCACACTGTATTGAGCTCTACGCTAAGAAGCCTCGCATCTAAAAAAAGGGAGTACAGTTACCCGCACCAAAGTGTTAAGAATAGCTCTGTTGACGTATGAGGCTTTTATCGAGTGTGAAACAAAATGCGCAACAGCTATTATGTTGAACTTTTTGTACCATGCATCGTTCTTGATCTCAAAGATGCGTACCTCTCGATGGAAGGTGCCAATTTTTACTAGCCAGCATTTCGCCATACTTCTTGCGTTCGAAGCACAACGTCTCTTAATGTTAGGCGCTCAATAAGGGAGGAGAAGAGTACAGGCCTGTCGTCTCTCAGGTGTTTTTTTCTCTTAAAACATAGATGTCTGGAAGTATCCACCAACGGCACTAGCGACAAGCTCTTATACGGCAGCATCGCCTCACCTGTGGTCCTTGTTCGGTGGTGTCGTCGAAGGGGTTGCCAACCTGGGTTCTGCGGTGAGCAGCCAGTTGAACAGCTTTGGCCACGAACTTGTCATAAATGTCTTCATGAACGAACAGGCGACTAGCAGCCACGCAGCACTGACCCATGTTGGCGAACAGGCCAATGTGCGCAATCTGGGCAGCTTCGTCCACTGCGGAGTAGAGAAGGTGAATCGATGTCTGAGCGAGTCGAATCTCATGGGGCATGCGCACCAGGTTTTGTAACGTGGCATGCACTCACAGAAGCCGTCGGAAATTCCTCGAATACAGTAGTGCTTTCGGGCGTTGCTAGATAATGAATAGGAATGCTCGAGACGCCTGTTTAGTAACCAAGATCCTAATTTTAAAAATGTTCTGCGACTCTGGGTCATCTACTTGAAGGCCATGCACTTCACAGTTCGTATGCCTGCGGGATGAATTGGGCAATAAATTTACAATTTTACTCTTGTATACGTTCTTAACGGCAGGTATGCGTCAATTTCGCACGAAGAATATGCGCATGAAAAATTCAAAGAAATCGTGATAGTCTTCATGCAATTGTAGAAAACTATTTTCTGCTTATCACAATGAAAATAGTGGTGTACCTGTCGGTTATGTGCATACCTTACGATAGAAGCAAGGAAAAAGTCACAGCTATGCCGCATAAGCGAAGCAATGAACCCGATAGCAACAAATTGGAACGTCACGCGCACAATGGAAAGCGGATCGAAATGTGCCCAGCGTTTCTCACGCGCCGAGGATGCACGAAACGTACTCACAGGTGCAGATGCACGCGAATAAGCGTCTCAGTTGTTACTTCGCTGTGTCTCAAAAGCGCGCGCTTTTCGCAAACGGAGACTGCAATGATTGCAGTTACCTTTGTGCACACGGTTACAAAAACAGAATAGTTCCAGGCAAAGCCCAAGGCTAGCAAAGAAGTACGATCCTCTCCACGAGATAAGGGCGCGCGAGGGAGAGTCGCCTCTCTCGTCTAAGTTGGGCAAAGTACGCGTGCGAGATTACAGCGCGCGCCGCCACGCGATGTGGCGACGCACGCTCATGGCGCCTTTTGTAACTGCGCATTGACAATGACGTATACGAAGTGGTCATTTTCGGTGAGTAAAGTTAATTTGCACTCACAGTCAGCGTCTGGGAATATGACCAGAGGGCTCTTTCCACCAAGCTCGAGGTTGACCCTCTTGGTGTTGGTCCTTCCAGCGGCCTCCTGGATGAGCTTGCCGACCTGGGCACAACATTGCGACAGCGACCTTGAGATGCATCAAGAGCTATGACAATGGCCTGAGGTATGGTGTACACTTGTACTGGTTTCCTGGGAACGAGGTAAAACCGAGGCGTACTACGCTTCAGACAAGTTTTCACCAAGGTAGTGGCAAAGAGTAGCGTGCAGTGACATGTCCATGCGACCTATTGACTGCTTCGCCAGCACCAGCCGGTCCCTGACAACATAGTGGGTTACCGGAAATGCGTCCTTGGAAACGTTCTGTTTAGCTTGTTTTAGCGTCGTTTTAGCCTTTGTTGCTGGCCGCGGCTACTTGTGTTTGCGCTCGCAACTCGAGCACAGCTGTGTCAATCCAGGATGCAGTCTGCAAGCCGTAACTAATTTTATATGCTTGTCAAAATGTTCTGTTTTCCAACCGACGAAGATATAAAGAGCACCTGCATCGCAGCGATCACGCGAGAAAACAGGATTCCTACAGAAAGCGCGTAGGTTTGTTCGGCCCACTTCATTAAAGGCGATATAAAGCTTAGTGCAGACTAATGGCGCAGAGGCAGTGTTCAGACGTTAGATTAGTTCAAGGCCCCCAATTAAATAAAGGAAACAAACAGACGCCGTAGTTTTCCGCCCATGGCAGATAAGTGCGCCGACGCCTGAATTGCGTGGGTAGCGAAACGTGAAAGCCAAAACTGGAAAACCACCGAGAAGGCGCTTCTTGTATAGTTTGAGCCACATCAAATATGTGTACTGTTAAAAACGACATTAAACAGAAGACACAAATGCCGGCGCCTGTGTCGTTTTTCGTGCGGTATTTTAGCGCCCTTAAGTTTATAATGAACAAAACAGCAATGCTCAACATAAGTCACCACACAATGTACGGAGCAGTGTTCACGTTTCGTTGTCTTCACATTTAGTTCTTTTTTAGAAAGTGACGCCCGCATGTGGGTTCCCATCTGCGTGGGTTAATGACTCATGACCTGTCTTGCTACCACCAATGAACGTCGCCACATTCTAGCTAAGTTATCTTTCGGAGTAAACATGGACTAGATTTAGGTGGGTGTAACTGGAAAGTTAGATTCACGAGTACTTTACTCGTGAGTAAACCATAATAATTGTTCACGCGACCCAGCAGGAGCTGACGTCATCGCATTATCAGTATATCTTACAATTTTTTCCTCAAAGGGAGCACTTTGGATCGCGAGCGATACTAATCGTCGCTGATCTCAGAAAAAGTGGGCGGTGGCCACAGGAGCAGAAATAAGCGTTTTATTCTCAGGTTGTGTGCTGAGAAGAAAAATCAAATATTTTCGTGCTTTCACAGGAGGCAGGTTTCCAGCTATAGTCAAAAAGCTGAATTTTAAAATTCCAAACTTTTCGAAAAAGGGCGCCCCTAGCGCCGCGGACGCGAACTACAGTCTGCCGCCATCATGAGGGCACCGCAGCAGACGACGTAGGGTGTGTGCCCCAGCGACGCTGATGCGCGTTTCTTGCAGCGCACACAGTCACCTCTTACGTTCTTGCAGGATGCGTACCGCGTCGGGAGGGCACACCAATAAGAGTCTCTTGCAGGCCGGATCCATGCATTTCCAGTCATAACAAGCAAAACTGCCCGTTCAACCCGTTGAAGGGTAGAAAATATTGCTCATGGTGCAGCGGAAGCAGCTCAGAAAGCTTATTCGAGAGTACTAGGAGCTCGTTCAAGCTAGAAAGTGGTGCGATCGCAGCGGGTGATACGGAGAATTAGCCGCCAACACAAACATCACAGCACTCGCGCATTTGACGGCTCGCTTTCCATGCCCTCATGATGGCGCTAGCTATCGCACGCTCTTTTGCGAAGCGAAACTGACGAAAAGCTCACCGTCAGGTGGCGTATTTAAGAAAAGGGTCTATGGATCTGGCAACTCTTGTCCGGTCCGGCATGTCAACGATGTGGGCGCGCTTTGAAGACGGGAACAGGGAAAAGGCAGCTTTGTCCTGTCTGTTCCCTATCAGCGTCTTCTAAGCGCACCCACATCATCGACATGTCGAACCAACTGCCCCAATTAAGGGAGCTGACGAAGTTCTCTTGCAGTTGATGCATTTTCTGTTGGTACCTCTCCCATGCGCAACGTCGACCGCCTTCATGTAGCCATTAAACATTGCTCTAAGTACATCTTAGGAATGAGCCAGAAATAATTGAGCAGCAAACTCAAATTCACCACTACTGTGGGTAGCATCACAAAACACTACCGGGGCCATTGAAATCAATACTGGAAGTGGCACACCAGAAACGTTTTTGGGCAGGCCATTCGGCGCGAGTCAGTTCGTTTACAAACACCGAAAGTGTCCATCTGTACTGCTCCAGTTTCATATAATTGTCACAAATAAAAACAATCGGGAAAGCACCTGGATACTTGTAAACTGCACGCAGATGCAGTTCTTAAAAATTTGTGCTGATGGGGCTTTACGAACATGACGTGGTTTAGACAGCAAATAAACAAACGTGTGTGCATAATTGGTATATTGTGTAACGTTTGATACCTGCTATAAATTTTTGGTGAGAGTAATTGAAATGTTCCACTTCTAAGGCATCATCAAAACTGCAAGATCGAACCGATTGTTTGGGTTATCGGTATCTGTAAAGAAAGGTCCAGCCCTAGACTGTACTGGACACAATGTTGCAAGGACAAACGTTGCTCCTGGAAGTTTTATAATCACTAATATGCAATATTCAGTAGTGATAGGCCTCATGTCACACAGGACTCAGGCCTCTGTTGCATTTACGTAAAAAGTGTGTTGCTAAGAAAGTGAAGGTAACAAGAATAAATGTTGAAGAAACGCAGAGTGCATGTGGTAATAGGAGGAAAAACCAAATAAAATAAATTAACCAACGTGTAGCCCGAAATTTCATGTACGGGAAAGTGAACTGGTGTAAAAATTAACATAGGAACCTAGCAAAACGAAAGAAACGAATGTGTCACAAAAAACTGCATATCCCGTATATCTTCCTTGTTGTATGTTCCTCACGAAGATGTAGTGTACGCTTTCATGTGGCACAGAGGAAGATCAAGGACGAGACGCGCATCACAAAACACTAAACTTCAGTATGTATGTCGTGTGTTGACGTTACTTCTTTTTTTCATAGAATAATCAATTAGTCGATAAAATTTACTTTCATTTTGCCTTGAGAAATTTGGGACTGATGAAAGAAAAAATGCCACTATGGCCCTCTGCATAGTCCAGCCCTAATCACGTCTTAAGCGCATCCCTACCTTCGTCAACTGATAAGCCAATCAGCTGAACTACAGGCGACTACTATGCCACTCTTGTTTTTTTACCTCACAGAGACTTCAGTGCCTCCCCGTCTGCCCTCTAGTGGCAGGAAATAATCGGGGCACAAGCGCTGCGCATTCGCTCACCTCAGTGGATCCGGTGAAGGAGACCTTGTTTATCTCGGGGTGCTCGCAGATGGCGGCACCGGCGGTGGGTCCATAACCTGGCACCACGTTGACGACGCCAGGGGGAATGCCGGCCTCCTTGCACAGCTGGGCCACGTACAGCGCCGTCAGCGGAGTCTGCTCAGCGGGCTTCACGATGCACACGCAGCCCGCAGCCAGCGCGGGGGCAAGCTTCATCGCGATCAACACCACCGGGAAGTTCCACTGCAACGACCGTAAAAGAAGGCGGTTTTGTTTCATTATATAGAGCTTTTAAACTAGTCTGTTGCATATCCTACGCGACACAGGCTTGAACAAGCGGCTGTAACAGCAATGTCACACACAGCGAAAGACAAGACTGGACGATGAGTGTGCGCGCGTGTGCTGCCGAATGTGCTGTGTTTATCTCTTCGCTTTCTGCTCTATGTTTCATCTACCCCATCTCCCTACCACGCGCAGGGTGGCAAACCGGCTGCCTATAGGCTGGTTAACCTCCCTGCCGTTCTTTTCCTCCTATTTTCCTTCCTGTTGCATATAACAATGTACCTACATAACTAGTTTTTTTCCCGCGTTATCCGAGTAGTGTAGCCGCTTGTGCAATTTTTTTCAGTGCGTTCTACAAATGTCATGCTTCATTGTCTCTGCATAAGTGTGTATTACACAAAGCGGGGTATGTGCTTTAGGATACGTAGCGATATTCTACTGAGGAGTGCCAGGTTTCCCTCAAGCCGCATTTGCGTGGCTTTTACCATCATATACGTTCATTAACCACTATGTTGAACATGTTGGTGAAACTGGAAATCAATCAAATCAATTTGCAAACCTGTTTTTTATCAAGCTAATTAGCTTTCCAAACAAAGCACCATTTGACTCGAGGCCGACCCCCCGGGATGCATCGTGCTGAGGGTCTGAGGAACAAGTACCACGTGCACAGCACCGGCGCAGTAACTTGGGAAAAAGTGTTGCGCTGCTAAGCTCAAGGATGCCGGTACGTTTTCCGTCCGAACTTTCTAGGTGTGCGCAAGATCGCCCATGCGGTCCGGAGTTCGATTCCAGGGCTGTGTGTGCTCTGCATGTTAATCTCGCAGATGTAGATGAGTGTGATACTACTGGTTTTTCTAATTACCTGTAGTCGTAATGTCCACTGCATTATCGGCGAGACACCGCTCTCAAAAGCGTAAAATAATGCTTTCTTTTCTGCCACCGCTTCAGGGCCAGGCCGCCTGCGGAAATGTGCACGCCTAACCACAGGCCGTACCTTGCCAGGAAAAATTTGACCTAAAATCCCGGCTAATCCTTGTCCCGGCTATTCTGAAGGCCACTTCGAATCGTGCCGGTTTCTCTGGGACACAGGCTACAGAGCCGCGTAGAAGCGGCGATAATTTGACTTGATTTCCTGCCTGCAGGCGTATAGTCTAGCCAGGATTTGACTAAGAGTGTAGGCTTAGTATAATACAGTGCACAAAAAAAAAAGAAGCCCGCAAGAGACCGAGTGTGGTGAACGTTTTTGCAGCTGTGTACTCACGGGTAGAATTTGTCCGCAGATGCCGACCGGTTCGCTGCGGGTGTAAGTGAAGTAGCTGCCATCTGAAATGAAACAAAAAGTTCGTTTTTAGCAATCGCAGTCGATTATAAGGGAGACCGCGAGTGGAATTGCGGCTGTCATGCTTGCATCACTGTTGCTCCGGAAATCGTTTTAAACTTTTCAAGCTCACCTTAGTGCACAGGTGGTCTTAACGAGTAGTTATAAGTGGTGCTACCATGGCGTTTATTATTACGCGTAAAGTTTAGGGATGAACCCACCAGCAGGCCTTCAACTGAATTCCACACCTTTTGTTACACTTATAATGTGTGTTAAACGACTTTATCGACAACCCTTGTGTAGTTAAATTGCATGCAGCGAAGAGTAATGCCACAGTAAGGCATCTTCTCAAGTAACAGCTATAGCGGGTCTGTCTCTGCTCTGCGATGTTCATGAAAGCCACTTCTGTACGCGGTCCATGAACTTAGTCGCTACCCGTCGACCCTCACAAGAGCGTCCAATGAACGCATTTAGATGTGCGATTTTCAAAGATTTCGTTACCTCGATTTCGTTAATTCTGCTCGGTCTACTTTACAGCTAACTATCCTCATACACGTGAAATTGCTGCAGAAGGTCAATATATGTTCTAGCTGTGCACGCATATCATACTGCGAACTTGAATAACAGTCGTGCACAGGTGGACGGACAAGTTATAAAAGTAGTCTAATCTCGATAATTAATGCAATACAGAGAAGTAGCAGTTGCGCCCAAAAAGACCGGTCGAAAACCCAGAACAGCCCATGATGTCAGTTATACGCGATGAAAAGGATAGGGAAACATATGAATAAATTGTTATACACTGGAGGGAAGGGGGAGAAAAAAATACGCAGCAATGCCGAATATGTGGAAGAACGTTGATTGATATGCGAGGTTTAACGTCCCAAAACCACCATATGATTATGAGAGACGCCGTAGTGGAGGACTCCGGAGACTTAGACCACCTGGGTTTTTTTAACATGCACCCAAACCTAAGCACCCAGCCTACAACATTTCCGCCTCCACCGGAAATGCAGCCGCCGCAGCCGGGATTCAATCGCGCGACCCGCGGGGGAGCAGCCGAGTACCTTAGCCTCTAGTCCACCACGCAGGGGCTGTGGAAGAACGTTTATGACCCCAGGTGAAAAATTTGATTGAAGAGCAGGGATTGTTTGTGCCGAATCGACGATGTAATTGAGATATATGCGGTAGTGAGATGCTTCAGAATAATTTCGACAGCAACATAGCGTTCTGTGACCTGCACCTAAAGCGAAGTAATGTGTTTCCTTAAATTACGCTTACACCATAACACGCCCCCTCTTCAGATTAAAAAGATGCTCCTCCCCCCCCCCCCCCCCAAATAAAATATGTTTTGAAGACGTTTCTGTAGTAAACATATATGTTAACGTCTACGGGCAATGCGTGCAAATTAGTAGGAAGTGTACTTCAGTTGGAGTTTTTAAAGCTCAAAATTTAACGGCCCGTTATTTGTAGAGAGCATAGGATAGCGCGTGAAGATTCACATAACAGTCATTCAGTTCATTCAGTAAAATACTTCCAGGGTTAAGTTCCGTTATATAAGGGAAAAGGGCTACATACATAGCAGTAAACAAAAGGCTACCTAAACACTATTGATTTGAACCAGACCAGTATTCGTGAATTATGTGATACAGGAGTATGATACATTATTTCCCTCTCTCAGCGATCACATGATTTATGAGAGCATGTGAGAGAGGCCACAGCTGGCACCGTTCCATGGCACGAACAGACGGTGGACGGAAGCTGCTAATAAGTGGTATGAAAGACTATCACCTTATAAATCTCCATACGACACACAATGAGACGAGGCAAGAGTCACCCACCGGCGGGGATGGTCTTGCCGTGGACCTTGTCGGCATAGCCGGCGTAGTAGCGCAGGTGTTTCACTGACGTGTCAATGTCCTCCTGGGCGTACTTGTACGGCTTGCCGTTGTTCAGAGTTTCCAGACTCTGCATAACACGCGCACATAGATAAGGTATGTGTAGTATATTACAATCAGTATTTGCCACAAAAAATGGCTCACACAATTTGCATTGATATTGTAGTCGAATCGATAATATTCTTGTTCATTTCTACCTATTTTCTCGAACGTCCTCATTGCGTATAGTTCGCAGTTTCGGCATTCTTGTTGCGCCTGCTTGCAGTCCAGATGCATGATCATAAAACTCGCAGCAATATAGGTAACGACAATGTTTTCACGGATGTGCAGTAAATGTGGCAGCGCTTGCGCCTTAGGTGTCACTGATTACAACAAAGCGTTCGCAGACTCCAAACTTCTTGACATAAGAATGTGGTTCATCTTTGATAGTAAAAGGTACACAAGGCGACAGACGACTCTTGAGTAGCTAGGTTGACAACGTCCCGCAAGTTGCATTTCCTATGGGGCACATGACGCTGGCAGTAGGACTTTACGCATTTATGGTTCGAATCGAACGAAGTAGAGTACGGTTGGTGGCCAATAGTCAATCAAAAGAGTAATACAGTGATGCTGTTGTCAGTACAAGTGAAGTATGCAGAAGAAATTCTAACAGCGGAAGGGTAAACTGCACGTAATATGCTTATATATACACACGTTAATCAAACCGTAGGAGTGTACGTACGAATTAAATTATCTCATTGCTTTGAGAGTGTTTTCGGGGCACGAGCTAGCTAAGAGAAGACGACGCGCTTTCTTCCGTAAGTGGACAACACCATAAAACAGAGCCAGAAAAACACAGCGGCCGGGGGGTCAGAGCTAATCGCCACTTCCCGTGCACCTTAAATAGCTCGCCCTTGAAGCCCGACAGCCGGCGGCGACGCGCGGAGGAGGACACACTGAAGCGCTATCCATTTCGAACATGGCAGAAAAGCCTAGGCGAGACGTCGGGATGCCGACGCTGAAACGAGAGGATGAACGAAACGTGGTGGCAAGACGCCAAGCGAACGTCAATGCTGTGCGCCCGTTCTTCTGTGACAGTAGGATTATGTGTCGGTGCGTCAAGTCGGACTGCAAGTAAAGGAAACAGTTCGGCTTCGAAGTCAGCGCTCTATACTACGATGCGGCAAAGCATTCTTCCGTATACTCTTCATTCACGTGTCAATAGCCTGAACAGTGCGAACGATCGTGATTGTTAAAAAAAAAAAACAGTTGATCAGAGTTGTCAAAGCCCTAATATATTGTGTTGTGCGTACTTTCACGTTTATACTTTATTTGCATTCGTGCGAAGCTTCGCGGACCACTTGCATGCGCATTCGTTGTAGCAGCACGAATTGCTACTCAGTGTACTCCTTTCTGCTTTTTCGTTACCATGATTTTCGTCTAGAAACCAACTAGAACACATCTTCACAACGTTTACACAACAATTTAAATGCGTCTTGTAGGATTTAGCTTAAAGCGAAAAAGAAAAAAAGGAAGAAAGAAGGAAGTGCGACATGCGCAGCCACTCGCCGACTGCTGCGCGTGATACCGATGCCCGCAATGTACGGAACCTGCCGGAATTTTTAGCAAAAACAATTATGCCACAATTCATTAAGGATTACTCCTAACTCCATGTGTTTTACGCCTCGAAGCAGCGATATCATTATGAGAAAGGCCGTAGCGCAGGACTGCGGAAACATCGGCCACCTGAGGTTCTTGAACGTGCACCTAAGTCCAAGCGTAGGAGCATCAAGCATGCTGCGTTCATCAAAATGCGGCTGGCCTTCTATTCCGCGCTCTTTGGCTCACCAGTCAAGTACCTATAACCATTCGACCACGGTGGCGGCTGATTCCCCAACGACTGACTGATCTAGAACACCAAGGTCTCGTTTAGACAAAAGATTCCACAATGAAGATTTCTACGTAATCCACCATGAAAAAACTATAAATCGTCCCTGCAAAAAAAAAAACGCGTACGTATTGTGTGACTGCCGGGTCCGCGTATCTCCACAAAGTAAATCGTCAAGAAGCTAGGCCCTAAGGTTTACACTATCCACGTTAAAGCCACCAAGGAGTATTGAAGGTTTGGGTTTGTAGGTGTTTTATAATGTTCCATCGCAATGATGAGTAATATTAGTCTATTGTGAAACCTTTTTGCGTCTCTTATACCTTTCGAGTATACCGTGCGTCACCCGAGCGTAGCCCCCTACAATGTAGCCGTGACAACGGACACCAAACAAGTTCCGGCCCCAAAAGTGCCTCGTCCCTAAATAGTTGTGAGCAGCTTCACTTTTAAGTGAATGCTGGCGAAGTGCAGCGTGTACACCGTCCCAGAGCTCCTTTTTGCGCAGTGTTTCATGAGCAAAGCGCTGAAGGGCCGGGGCTTGTCCGTCCCGTTCCGCGGTGTCCGTCACACTGATATGTGTGGATGTGAGACACTGACAAGGCTCAACAATAAACTGATGTCAATCCTCATTATGACGGAATATAAAACACCTAGAAGCACAAACCCTCTATTCTGGTAGGTGGCTTCAACATACACATTATGTACCTTAGGAGATGGCTTTGTCGTCGACTCTATGTCTGTTTATGTCAATCAATTTACATTAAACGGGACAACACTCGGGCAACGTAGGGTTACTCGCCCGTACGATACCCAACACTTTGCCCACTCGTCATATTCTCTTTGTGAAGATGAGTGGATTTTTTAGGAGTGAAGCTCTTCAGGCCCACAGCCCGCCATCGTGGCAGCTCCCTGCACAAGGCACGCACACCGACCAAAATAGTTGCGCGCTCCAGGGACAGCGGTATAGCACAGGCGCGGCGGCAGATGGCGCGCGCTGCGCCAACCGCGCCGCTCACTTGATCACTCAGTCGTGCGCGCCACCGAGTGCAGTTCACACTCTCCAAGCTACTCGCCACTTTACGACTGTCGTGAAAGCCGCAGCCAGATTAGGCTAGGATCAGGCGCATATAAAGTCGTTTGCATCCCATTTCTAAGGGGCTTCGCTCATCGGGTGTATTCACACGGAACTGCTATACACGCGGACAACTTTTCTTGTCAATGCAGCGAAAGCTGCAGAGCCAAATAGTGTGTATTCCTGCATCTGAAGAATGTTGTCCTACAATCGTATTTGCATTTTCTACGCGACATACGAAAAATACTGCCTTTAGTTTTTGCATGCGGCTCGTTGGCGCTGGACGCAGCTCACACAGTAAGATATTCGTATTTGCTTCCATTTATTCATAAGACTCCGAAACTTCACCTTCCACGCTTACCTCGAACGCCAAGCGTTGTCTGCGTCAATATGAAGCGCTGATCACGCACAGTCATAACATTCCACAGAGGTACAGAACGCGTGAGACACCGGACTACTTCGCGTGATCTTACGCGCACAAGCTCCACTCCAATAGCTTGCTCTTCATCGCAAAGAAAAGTTGTCCACGAGTCTGCCTTTTCATCATGCCGGCGCCTTGCATGGGACCGGCTCAATGCCGGTGTTATCTCGCTGTCACCTTCGCATTTCCCTTACTTCGAGGCAGTTCGGCTAATTTGTGCCCTTTTCCCAAGGTAGGGTTGAAAAATCGACATAGGAGCTCTTCCTCTGCTCGATCAGCCCTGATGGCACTGCCGTTCTCAGTCGAACGTGCGCTGTCACTCTCAACGACCCTCCTCAGCGGCGTCCATCGTGGGAAAGACCAAGCGCGCAGACCTTGGCCCCGACGGAAATGTACTCTACTGGCTGTCTCGCAGTTTGCACGTTAATGCATTGGCAACTGTGGGCGCACTTAGTGGGTTGACGCTGTACAAAGGCATAGTGAACTAGAATATGCTCTAGTTTACTACAACAAAAGTCATGGATGCTATTAGTACGGCGATGGCCACGCAGGATAATACGGTGAAGATCTCGACGGCTGCTTCGCTTGAAACATAACGAACGTATTTCTTTACGTCACGATGTTCTTCACAAGACGAACATCGTGACGTAAAGTACGAGTTGTTCGAATAAGCCCCTTCTGCGGTGTCAGCCCGAAGGAACGGGTACTGAATTCACGACGCACGACGCCTTTGGCCTGTTTAAAAAAATTATTTACAGTATGTACAGAACACAAACGCTTCATAATATTCCAGGAACAGGCACATATACTTCGGCACATTTTCGTGTCACGACCAACATCGCTACGTTGCAGTGAATACATTTGCTCTAATATACATACGAATGTTGGCATACATGTACACAAGAAATCAATGCGATATTATGATACAATGGTAAAGCGATACAATGGATGCAATGAAACACGATTTGTAACAAATGAAATCGTATATGACAATTCAACGGGCCACTAAAATACTCCGAACTACTTTTTCGCTGAAAACCAATTTCACTAGCAGCATCTGAGACAGGGTGCTTCGCAGGCCTCCGAAATGCTATAGTCACACTGATTTTATAAACACTTTGCAAACTACAATTAATTTAATGAGATCGTTTCAAAGCATCTGAAATGCCTTGTAACAGCTACATAAGAGTCTTATGTGGGACCCCAAATGTTCTAAACGGAAAGGACATAAATATTGAATCGACTTGCAAATTTAAGCATGCTCTGCAATTATTCAGGAGATAGAGCCTTGACCCTTAATCTTTCAGGTGTGCGTTAAAAACTCCTACTTAAAAACAAATCACAGCCTATCCACGCAGTGAATGATCTCTTTCCCGAACGGCAGCCGAAGATGATTGGACGACATGCTCGGAACATTGATTACGCATGAGCAACGATGGTGCTCATGTCGCAGTCGCTACAACGACGCCGTCGTCAAAAACGAAGTCTTCAAGGGACACTAAAGTCAAATAACAATTTAAGCCAGAGTGAAAGCTCAACGTATGAACACATCTGAAACGACAATATTATCAACAACAGTGCCCTACTTACCGAGAAATTAAGGTACATGCACAAAAACACATGCGCCGTAGTAGCACAGTAAGACATTATCAAAATGATCCCGATGACATCAGACGGGCCGCCTACAATTATTCACTAGTAGTCAATCTAGCAGCACTGTATAAGGAACATTCCGTGCATCAAGAGACGCAATAAAATGCTGCTTGTTCATTCCCTTTTAATTCATAAAAAAAAAAAAAAACACGGGACGTTACTATGGAGAATATC